GTTGTTTTGTGCTGCAAAAACAGGAAGACCCCACTTGGCTGGCGCCCGGCTCGCAGCGGGGCTCCTGCACACACAGCCGCCTGGCTGCCTCCACCTCTGACACCTTTTATCCCGTCCCTGCAGTCGTGTCCCTCGGTCCTCATCCTGAAGTTGTCAGTGAGAGGAGAGTGCCTGTGATGTCTCCTCTTTAGGCTGAGGAATAGCTGTGGTCACTTAGAATTCACTTCCTCGTGACCTCTGCTCACCCCAACAGACCTAATCTACTTAAAAGTACCACTGTCTTATGCTTAAAACTAGCTTCATGGATTTTTTATTCTTAGAAACCTAGAATCCCCACATTTAAGTTTGAGAAGAAAGCGATCATTCCACTGAGAAATACAGGACAATGACGAAGTATCCCCCTGCTTCAGAAGAAATTGGCTCAGGAGAAATAAATCTCTGTATGTAGCAATGAAGCTAAAGAAAAACTAAAGCCATCAAACTGAATGTTCAAGGATAATTCAATCTCAGTTGTTGCTCGTGATCCTATATTTTTAAAATAACTTTTCATGATGAAAGGAAGTTATTTTAAAAAATCATAGGTTATTTTATACAGAAAACATATTCTAGATAACTGATATTAAATCACTTATGTAGAAAATAATGCCTTCTTACCTTTTCAAAATGTAACTGAACTTTCTAGCAGTGCTTACTAATCTAGTGTTGGGCGTAAGCTCAGTAGGGTGTGGGAGGCATTTGGGTTTCCACCGGCTCATTCACAAACTTTGCTTGTCCGTGTTGAAAAGGAACTCTGGCCATTTCCTCTGGGGCTGTTATTTCCAGGTGGCCCCTGACAGGGTTTTCTTGGAAGGCAGATCCTTAAGTAGTGTCTGTGTACACGAGACATATTTATCTTTGAGATAGTGAGCTCCTGTCTGTGGAATTCTCTATTGCATTTGATAAGTAAATAATTTCCACTCCTGTTCAGCCCTGGAACTCCTGGGGACACAGTTTATCTCAGCAGCTGCTTCACCTTCATGTCTGGACTAAACACCCAACTTGATAAGCGGGCGGGGAGATTCCAAACTTCCTGGACCGTAAACTCTGAGGGGTGAGAACTGGGTCCTTCCTTTGCTGATGACGTGTCCTGATGGACTGAAGCCATCCCAGGTTGACTTGTTTTTCTCCGTAGTATGGAGGGAGTTTTGTTTTCTGGAAAGTGTTGGTTGCTGGTAAATAATGTGGTCAAGATGTAGAAGGCTGCTATGAAACGTATCACAGAATTATGAAAAGTTAGGGCTGGGAAGCCGAGACCCTGAAGTCACACGTCTCCCATTTTACACATGAAGGGTGACGTGACTTGGCAGGACTGTCAGGGGAGCTGAGACCCACCCACGGCACCACCAGGGACAACTGTCCTATGGGAGCCCAATACTGGAAGACCAGCTCAGCCCTGCCGCCCAGCTATCACCTCAGCCTTCACCTCAGACATAATTCCTGTCTGGGTGAGCCTGGTCACACAGGCCGGCGTAACTGTGCTAGCTGAAATCTACATTACTGGAATGTAAAAGGCACCCCTGTCTGTTCCTGGAAGGCCACGTCTGTCTGCCGGAGCTTGCAGAGCCGACATAATGGGCTTTTTGATGAGAGCAGTGATAGCCTCAGTGGTGTGGTCGGGCCTCCCTTGGCGGGGAGGGACCTTCGGTTGTTGCTAAGCAACCTGTAAAGCACTGGGCTGGCGTCTGAGACTGACTGACCTCCATCTGCCTGCCTCGTCCAGGCCGGTGTTTACAGTTCCCTTAAGGTGACTGTGTGTTCTGGTGGCATCACCATCCCTTTATCAAATGGCTCCCAGGAGAGCTCGTCGGACGTGGGAAGGAAGATGGTGACAGTCGTCTGTTCAGGAAGCAGCATGAGCACACGGCCTGTCTCGGGCGTGCAGGGCAGGCGAGAGGTGTGGTGTTTCCAGTCCCGTAGCTGAGAGCAGCTCCCTGACCCCCGTCAGGACTGGTCTGCAGTGTCTCCCGGCCGCTTCCCCTTGCAGTGGGTGCTGTAGAAGGAAAATAAAGAAAAAAGCCCATGTTCCTCTGCTCGTGGTGACTGAGCAAAGGGACCAGTGTGGCTGATAAAGATCTGTCCCCATCCTCTTGAGAAGGCCACTGTTGTGGTTACTAGTGTGCCCTGAGCTAGCTGACCAGTAATGAAAGCCCTGAGCTAGCTGACCAGCGCTACTGTGATGAAAGCTGAGTGCGAGCAGAAAGAGCGTTTGGTTTGTTTCTCTGCTGTGTGTCACAGCTTCGCATGGACATTTTAGGTATTCAAGGAACATTTGCCAAATACACGATAAAATGGTATTATGGAACTAGTACAAACCAGACTGACTCCAAAATGTTCCTAAATATTTCAGAGAGAGCAAAGGGACCTAGGTGAGATGATTGAATGTTAAATTTGGCTAAGTCCAGTGCAGAGAAAATTATGGAAGAAACCGTCTATCTCCAAGGTTTTTACAAGATTCTTTTAACAACTGCTCAAGTAAAGTCTGTGTCTGTGCCAGAATTCAGCTGAGAGATCAGAGCGTATGAAGCGGCCTTCTCCAGCTTCAGAGTCTTCAGTGCGTCTGTCTTTTGAGGACAGAAACTGAGAGGCCATTATGACTGAGCAGTTGTGTCTTTAAAAATAAGCAACTTGGAATTTGTGTGATTCAGCTGGGGTTCAAAATCGCACAGAGTTCAACAAGTAAAATACTCTAGCTGAGGCGACTGATTAAGAGATCCCAGTTTAAAATCACTATTAATATACTGATAATGAAAAACACACTTGCCTACCCAAGCCGGGTCACCCACAAGGAGGGTGATGGAACATCTTTGGGGAGCCAGCAGGCAGCGACACTAACTTGCATTGGCTTCCACTCAAAAGGCAGGTCTACTGGACAGGGCAGTGGCATGACTGAGGCTGGACGGCTGAAGCCAAGCACGAAGGGCATGGAGGAAGGGAACCCGGTGGCAAGCGGGGGCCACTGCCGTGGTGCTTTGCTGTCCCCTCAACAAGAAAGCTTATAAGTGAACGCCTGAAGGTGGAGGGGAAGAGCAAGGAGGGGAGGGGAGCAAGGAGAGTGGGATGGGCCCAGTGGGGACCCCACCCCAGCACAGCTCTGGTTTCAGGCTTTCCTCCTGCCTGTTCCCCAAGGCTGACAAGGAGCAAGAGAAAGAGAGAAACGTACAAGAGAGGAATGACTTTCTCAACACACCCTGGGCTGCTAAAATAAAGTAAAATGCATGTAACTCCTAGTATTTCTCACATGGGTTGGAAGATATATCACTAAAATATCAAACAAGTACAAGCACTCACAGCCCCAAATAATTCACCATTCATTCAGCAGTCAGGTTTTGTATCTCCTAATACGCTCCAGATCCCAGGTCGAAAGGTGAAATGAGTTAAATGCATTTGCCGAATGCAAATATGCATTAATGAGCTGACGGAGTGCAGAAAATTGCAGGCTGTATGTGAAGTGCTTTTCAAAGGAAATAAACTAATTCCATTCCATCCATTTTGTTGTGAAAAGGGGTAAGTGTATCAGCACAGCTTAGCAGGCAAATACCTCCAAAAGGCTAGTCAAAAAAAAAAAAAAAAGTCTTATATACTAGAAGCCTAGTCTAAAAACAGCCACAATTTCAACCTTTTTTTTCAGGATTTGTTTAAATATTCAGAAAGTAAATTTATCAAATGCACACAGCTTTGAAACAATCAAGGGGTGGAGGCTGCCTCTGCGGAGTGCTGGTTTGCAGAGGAGAGAGAGGGTTAAGGAATCCCAGCTTGAAATGGGGGAGGGTGCTGACTTCAGATTTACTTTAATATTCATGGGGCTTCCTCCATTTTAATCTTCTCCTTTTAAAAAGATGGCTGTGTTTCCCAGCCTGGCAACTCCGCAGGAGAAAAGCATTGCTCCTTCCTTTCAGAGTTCAGCTGAGTAGGACGAGTGTAGCGTGGAAACCCCTTCAGCCACCGAGACTCCATCATTCATAAGTGCTTCAGCCTGCCAGCCGGGTGCATCCGGACAGTCTCCGCGCCTTCGTGCAATCCCTGATTTCATTACCCTCTGCTGCCAGGAAGCAGGCAGGGAGAACGGACTCTTTGCAAGGATGGTGTGCGAAGACGGGCTTTGTTTGGATTAGGAAATGCCATAGATTCTGGAGGTTTCGTCTTTTCTAAGTTTTGAGTATTTTGCCACTAATCTGCAGGGCATTCCTGGTCCTTTCGGGCTTGCTTTCTCAGAACCAGGAATTCTCCCAAAGCTATCTGAGGACTGTGGCAAGGAGAATATTCCAAAATGCCCGAGGCAAACTACTTGTTATCTGTGTCTTGGGGTTATATCAAGGTGGGTTCATTTGACTGTGTTATGTGTCTCCAATAGAATGTGAAGCGTTTACATGTTTTCTCTGTGAAGTAGAGGACATCCGTGGGCATCTGCAATGATTTGATCTGTGTGTTCATTTAAGCCACTAGGACTTCATATTGTAAAGCTAGGGTGTGTTATCATACATGGTATTTAAATGCATTGTACTGTATTTTAATCTGGTTCTTTTTAATCAACTCAATTCTGTAAAAGATGCCTCTTGTTTTTCTTTCATTTTCTCTTAAACTTTTCATATATAATCTCCTCTCACAGAATAGATTGTTACCTCAAATTACATCTTAGAGTTAATTTCAGACTAATGTAATTTTAAAAGTAGCTATGTTTTAGAGTGAAGTTATCGTGACCTCTATTAAAATTTTTTCTCCTATGTTTGCACCTTCAAAAGAAATCAGGCATTAATTCTAAGGACTCTTAAGAAAATGTTTTTTCCCAAGGTGATGTTGGAATAATTTTAAATTAAAGGTGTATTATATTTTGTAGAAACAGTGTATTTATCTTACGGTATTTACTCATCCAATCTCTCAATTCCTACACAGTGAAATTAGACATTTAAGGGGATCATATACTATTTTTAAGGTGGTTAATTTTTTTTTTTTTAAATAAACAGTTCAAGAGAATGCTGAACCGGGAGCTGACACACCTCTCAGAGATGAGCCGGTCAGGGAACCAGGTGTCGGAATACATTTCAAATACTTTCTTAGGTAAGCTGTCAACTGGGGAACCTGTCTCATAACTGGGGATTTTCAGCATTGATCTCTACACTGCATCAGGAACAACCTGGTATGAATTTGGTGTGGGGCTAAGTCATAGAAAAATCCATTTAAAATAATAAGTAAGGGCAATCTTCAAAGGGGAAAAATAAGCAGGGAGATGATATTTAAGAAGTGAATGAGACTAAACATCAAAGACAGAGGGTCGTTATGGGCTGATGTTATTAATAGGTCCCTCGGGCCCCCGTTGGCCTGCCAGCTTCTATCCCTGCCAAGACTCTGAAGTAACGGACAAGGTTCCGTCTCACCAGGGGACAGCACCACTGGCTCTGCTGACAGAGTGGGGTTCTTTAAATTCTTCCAGTAACGAGGCTTCAAGCAAAAGGTCTCCTCCAAGGTGCTTTATAAGGGATGTGGCTGAGAAATAATTCTATAGTAATTTGGTCCATGAGAATAAGCTTTGGAAAAATTCTATTATCACTTTGCTAAGTTAATTCTTAAAGATAAACGGATGGTGAGGGGAAATTTTTCATATTTTTGAAAGATTTCCTGTCCTGCGAGTAGGGTCATCTTCCCAGCGGGATCCTTTCTTGTTATTCCCCGCGTTACGTGGCCAGTATTTAACACACAGCACTGACTGGAAAGGTTTGCATCAGTGCTCCTGGCCGTCGTCCTGTGTCTTGTTTGATTACCAGCTATTTCCTGATCTCAGATTTAAAAGCCATTCTATTGTATAATGAACCTATTTGGACCATTTTGATTTAACAAGGCTTACAGTATCTGCAAATTTGCACTTCAGAGTGAATGGGCAGCATCTGGATTCTGACTCTGTTTACTTTCAATTGCTGCTGACTTATCCCTGCTTATAAAATCTTATTTTCCAAAGAAATGGCCCATTTTTACAGCTGAACCTCACACCCTCCCCCTTTTTGACACAGCCACATAATTTTAAATCAATGAGCATTTGCCTAGATATCTCATGGAAACATGGACCTCTTCTGGTTTTATTTTAAAAAATCAATCCTGTTTCTCTAACACCAAAGCAGTTCTTGCTACCAGCAGATCCATCAGCTTTCCCTCTGAGCCGCCTGGTCTAAAACTCACTGCATTAGCTCCAGTCTGCAGCACCAGAGTGACGTGCAGGTGCCTCTGGCTGTGTCAGAGTCTGCAGCACCCAGCTCTGCCAGCTGCAGCAGCCTTTGTGGGAGAACAAAGAAGAGTTTCTCCTGCATCCTGGCTCTCAGGGGTGGCTAGAATCTGCGTGCGGAAAACATTACATCCCCATCCTTTTCTCCTCCTTTCTTCCCCCTTTATCGCTTTGAAGATGGGGCTCTTCCTCTGACATTCCAGGTGTCCCCTGTTTTGTGTAACAACCCATCATTTTTCATAACCGGGGGCTGCTGTAGGGACATCTATTATAGGTTAATAGCTAACAAAGAGGAAAATAAAATAAACAAGGGAAAGACCACATTTTTGTTTTTATAAACATTGTACTTTAAAATGCCAGCACCAGTCCGACCCCTCCCTACCAATGTCAAGGCGACACGAAGCCTCTGAGCTCTGCCTCGCCCAGCCGGGGCTAAGCAGCCTCTGCATTTGGGGGCCCTTCAGTATCTTCTAACCGAGGAAATGAGAATATCTGTGTCTACTAATTACCTTTTTTATCATCACAGCCCATAAGACAGGAAAGATGAGCTCCCAATCTCAACAGCTGGTATCTCAAGAAGGCACAAACGTCAACTCTTTCTAGAACATTCTATTTGCTATTTAGGCAGATCTCTTGAGGAAAACCAATTGTTTGGCTTCCCTGTTCTAAAAGTTAAATTGCCAAGAACAGATGCTGAAGAAGGTTATTAGAATCTCAAACCTCACAGACCCTTAGCCTTAGGAGGTCGGGGTGTGTGATATATCTGAGTGTATGTTGGTAAACCATCAAACAGACTGGATGGGCAGATTAGAATTGTAAATGCAGTTAGGAAAATACAGGGAGGAAAGAAAACATCATATAACCAAAAGATGCATCAGCTGGCTCACCTGGAGAATGGGAGCACTGACCCAGGTGACATCCCAGGTCCCTTTTGGCTCCGACACAGGCTCTAACAAAGGACCAAGTTTATCAGCTCTGCTAAGGCATCTGACCACCTGGGTTCTCTGTGATGAAACCTAGGCTTATAATTTGACAACCTTAAAAAAAAAAATGAACACACAAACAAAGTTTGTTTCCAGACTGCAGAGAAGGCCGTGGGACGGCCAGTCTCCCCTGTGAGCACGGCAAGTGCTCCTGGAGGGGCCTCTTCATAAACCGTCTGCTCGGCGAAGGCCCCTCACGGCCTCGTGGCCCCATCCTCTTGCTTTGCTGGAGAAAACAAGGAGGCCTGGAGGGGTGAAGTACCTTGACCAAGGTCACTGGGCCGTTATGTCCCTGACCCAGGACTAGGCCTCAGCTCTGTGGACCTCTAGACCTACACACCCTGTCACTCCTTGGACTAGGAAAGAAGGCTGTTAGGAACTCAGAACGAGCAGAAGAAAATCACATTTAAGGGCATTCTTGTAATATGTATATTGTTTGGAAATCAGGATTCTTGGGCCTACATATTCTTCCAGTGATATAAAAGACTCATATAAGAACCCGGCAACCACCCCAGTGAACACAAAGTGAGAAGAACTTGGCAATCTGAGTCGGGCCTAGTGATCACTGTCCCAGCGCCCTGACGAGTTAGGATGTGTCATCCTGGGAGGAGGGAAACCCCTGGATGGTGAGATCTGTGAGCTTGTGCTCTATCCATCTGGTGGGCAGAGAGAAAGGTGGCCAGTGGGCCTTTTCATCCTGACACCTGCCGATGCTGCCAAGGGGCAGGGAAGTTCAAAGTGCTTCAGAGGAAGCAGAGCAGGAGTCAGGTGGAGATCGCATAAATCAAGATTTGTTGATGTCATATTTACTGTTAATAATTTCACAGACAGAGAAAAATCATCCTTGTAACCCCCCTGCCCACCATCTCAAAAGCTGGGACTAGCAGTTTTCAAGACTCCAGGAAAGGAGCTTAGGAATTCTAAGTGATTACATGTGAGATCTTGGAAAAAGAGAGAATCAAATTATGCCCTTAGCAGAGCTTGGAGGAGGCCATTTTTGTATCTGTTTTTTATTTGTTTTAGACCGGCCAACTGTTTCCACACTAGATTCTGACCATTCTGTAAATGTAAATTCGCTGAGTGTTTATCATGAATTTTTGAGTCTGTGTTTCAGGTCATTTCCACATTGTCTGGCTAGTGAGCATTTAACAGAGGGAATTCAGAGCAGAGAGACCCATTGGCTGTTCCAGGCTCTGCACAGGGGACCCCCACTGATGTCACACCCACACTGTTCACTGCAGTGTCCCAGACACGGCAGAGTCACGGCTCCCTCACTGTCACAGTGATCTTTAATTACACAAAGGGGAGAAGCTGCTGGTCCCACTAGAAATGGCCGGCTAGGCGGTGGCACCCGAGACTCTAACAGCCTCTTGAACCACAGATTAAGAGAGAGCCTGGAAAGGGTTAGGAGCTAGGGTGGCCTTTCATTCCAGCAAAAAAAGTAGTGATTATTAGAAATGAAGTGCCAGGGAGAAGAGCAATTTCAAGAATATCGTAATATACAGTTTTTATGCCAGAGAGAGCACAGCAGGAAAGAGATTTATTTTTATTTATTTTTATTTTTATTTAAAAATATGGAATGCTTCACGGATTTGTGTGTCATCCTTGCGTAGGGGCCATGCTAATCTTCTCTGTATCATTCCAACTTTAGTACATGTGCTGCCAAAGCAAGCACCGGAAAAGAGATTTTTAATAGGAGCCTCAAGGCCTGGGCTCTGAACTGTTAAGTCACTGTGTCTGGGACAAAGTAATGGCAAAATAAATAACTGTGTTGTATATGCCTTTTGAGCTTGGGCAAGTTGCTGACTTCATCTGAAAAATGAGAGTGTGGAATTGTTATTGGTTCCCAAATCCAGCTCTGATCGTCCAAGTCACTTAGGAATCTTCAAAAAATACTGATTCAGCAGGGTTGGGCGGAGCTCATAAATCTGTATTTTTTAGAAGTTTCCTAGGTGCTTCTGACATCTGAATAGGTCGGAAACCCCTGGACTGACAGATTTCTACTAAAATTCCTCCCCATTCAAGAGTCACAGGTTATGATTCTGGGAGCTGCTGGGTACCCAGGGGTTAAGAATTCCCACGTCCCAGCCTCGCGGGCAGGTGGCACGCTGTGCCTGAAGCCAGCATGGCCTCCTGTGCTCTCCTTGTCTGCTGGAGCGTCCACAGGGGCCTGTGAGCGGGCAGAGTCTCTGGGGAGGACATGACTGTGCTGTCATCTGCAGGGGTCTGACAGCAAATAGCCCGGACTCCAGCATGCCACCTGGGAGCATGTCATTTTCAAATGCAGAGGTTGTCTCTCTGCTAATTCTCACCATAAAAAGATATATGTGAGGCACTGTTGAAGCTGCATTGACTCCTTCACCCCCAGGGCGTCACCTCATTCAGCAAGGTCGTGGTCAAGCAGTCTGATGCGTTACTGCCTCTGTGGACTCACAGGCATCCTTGTGGCTGAATGAGTTGATGCATTTCTCAGAGGCACTCAGGATACACCCCTGTGACATGATGTGGGATATTTGATTGCCAGTATGTTTAATAATGTAACACAAGGAAAGAGCTTCCCTACACGGGTAGATACTGTTTTCCACTAATCCTAGCTCTTCACTTACCTTAATATAACATAATGTTTTAAAGTAGCAAATGAAATTAACTGTATATCATTAATAATCATAAATATGTTACTGAGTATTATCCCTATTACAAATGAGAGACCTTGCTATTATTTACTAGTAGAATTAATAGACAGGCACAGGCTGAAATGAAACTGAAATTAGGGTCTTCTTCTGAACCTTGCATAGCAGGGAAGCCAGGCTTTAAAATAGATGAAAATCACAAGCCGCTTACTCTTCTACCTATCGCTCAATTCAATTGGACCTGGCTAAAATCATATGTATTTTTAAGTCTGAAAATAAAATGAGCAGACTGTAAAGGCTATTTTGATTAACTTGGGTTTGAGTAATGAGCATTATTTGTCATAGAAACACAGAAGTCACTCACTTCGATAAAAAATGCATGTAAAATATCAAAACATTGATGTCCTACCTTGAACATACATAAGTGTAATTCTCCTAAATCACACTAAAAACAAAGAGGTGAGGTCACATTCTGTTTCACTGCTTCTTGGACAAGTCCTTCACCCGCTGGGCCTCAGTTTGCTCATCAATAATGTGGGATGGCAGATCGCCTGTCTCCTTGCCCGCCTCATGAGGGCATCCCGGAGACGCACTGACATGATGCTGTGGGATCCTTTATGAGCGTCAAAGCCATGTAGCAGGTTGGCAGTGTTTTGGACACTATGGTAGGTTCTCCTTGTCACAGAAGTGCTGACAAACACATCCCTTTCTGTGTTGCAGACAAGCAGAATGATGTGGAGATCCCATCGCCCACCCAGAAGGACAGAGAGAAAAAGAAGAAGCAGCAGCTCATGACCCAGATCAGCGGGGTGAAGAAGCTGATGCACAGCTCCAGCCTCAACAACACGAGCATCTCACGCTTCGGAGTCAGCACGGAGAACGAAGACCACCTGGCCAAGGTGCGTGGCCGGATGTGCGGCAGACGGATGCCCGTGAGCCTTGTAGAAAGTAGCGGGCATGCTTCTGCTTAATGATTAAGTCTTGTGACAAGGAAACTAAAGTGGTGTCTCTTTCCATCACTGGGGCACCTGATCAAAGATTGTTTTTTCATACCAAAGAACCCCTTAATTTGAGGGAGTGTCCTGGGCTGAGTTTGTTAATGGACAGTATCACCTTTCCTTCTGGAATGATACTGGAAAAATTCAAGGGGAGGCCAGTAGGCAGGTCTAAATTGTCCCAGAGGACATTTGGAGGACAGAATATGTGCCAGTGACCAAGGGAGACACCTGTGCCTGTGGTCGGGACTGGAGAGGAGAGAAGAGAAGCCAGCTGCCCGCACTCCAGTGATGGGGGAAGACAGAGGAAAAACCCTCACAGCCTCCCACAAAGTCATTTCTTCCTTGTGAGAACTTGACGGGCACTTACTGTGAGACCTTAGAAAGCTGTCAGTGAGACTTTCTGAAAGCTGCTGGAGTCAGTTGGTTAAACATTCGGCCCAGTCTCTGGGCAGAGCCTGGATCTCTTACTCTGGGCAGTTAGTAGGAGTGGAATAAATTACTCCTTAAATTAGATAATCTTGCCATAATCCTACAACGCAGGCCTGAGTGATTTTTCTCCAGGTTCATCTGTGGCCTAGGAGCTTAGGATGTAATTCATAACCGGCATTCATCACGACCTTTTACATTAAATTGGGCTGACTTATGCACGTTCTGGCAGCTGAGTCTTCCTGACGTGATAATAACCCAGGCTGAGGAGTTTCCCTGAGACTGTTTTCCAGCGATTACTAATGGGCTAGTGGGCAGCGAGGGGAGAGGCAGGAAACAGGGAGAGTGACCTCCCCTCACTTGCAGCCACCTTGGAAAGCAGCTTGGACTGACTGACGTCCGCCACGTGGCAGCAATAGGCCAGGAGCTAAACTTACAGATAGATACCATGTTTCCCCCAAAATAAGCCTAGCAGGATTTCTATGCATTTGTTAAATATAAGCCCTACCCCGATAATAAGACCTAGTGATGGGCGTGGCTATGCAGCATATCTACATAGTCACACCATGCATTTTGGCATGGAAAGTAAGAATAAGCCCTAGTGTGTCTTCTTGAGAAAAAACAAATATAAGACAGTGTCTTATTTGGGGGGAAACATGGTACACATTCTCTCTTTTCTAAAAAAAAAAAAAAAAAGAATATAGAGAAACTTGTAGCTATTGTGAAAAGGACACCAACCTCCTACTAGGCCATTTTATTTTCAGATTTTCACACAGCTAGAGCACTCCTAAATAGGCATCTGAAATTCCAGCCAGCACCCAGAAAATAAATTAAAAGACTGAGGCGCACCAACAGAGCTATCCATTCTTAAATCCCTCTGTTTTTGACCACAGGAGCTGGAAGACCTGAACAAGTGGGGCCTGAACATCTTCAACGTGGCCGGGTACTCGCACAACCGCCCGCTCACCTGCATAATGTACGCCATTTTCCAGGTCGGTGGCTGCAGGGCACGGCGGCTTTCCACTTTTGCAACTTAACCTTCACTTTTGTGACTTAACCTTCTCCCATTTGGGGGCATCCACGTCCTTATGTTCTAATCAATTTTCCCGCACAGGAAAGAGACCTCCTAAAGACATTCAAAATTTCATCTGACACCTTCGTGACCTACATGATGACTCTGGAGGACCATTACCATTCTGACGTGGCGTATCACAACAGCCTCCACGCTGCCGACGTGGCCCAGTCAACCCACGTGCTCCTTTCCACGCCTGCGTTAGATGTGAGTAGTTGTGGCCTGTTTCACACCTGCCCATCCTCTTTTGGAAGCACCATACCGCATGCAGTGTATTTACAAAACAGTGTGATTGGACGCGTGCTTGAGCTGGTTATCAAGAATAGCACCCAGCATTTGAGTTATTTATAAAAAGGGATGGCATTTCAACTTGCTTTGCTTTCTAATATTAATCTTCCCTTTACATCTCTTATAATTGAAAATTATGTAGTTACAAGTCCCGTGTCACCCAGGCACTGTGGAGGATATCAGAGAAATAGAACATAAAACACTCTATACAGCTCCCCTTAGGAATAAGTATCCACAGGTTCATTCTCCTAAGAATGCATCAGACTGATTATGTGGGTTAAGGAAAAAATATCTGGATATCTAGAACAGAGGAATTGATAATGCTGGAGCAAGCAGCTCCACCTGTTCAGACAAGATCTGAGCGGCGTCTGGGACGCCTTCCCTCCCAGATGAACACATCTGTGTGTGCAAGTGTCACTGGCAATGTGGCTCTGCCCTGACTGATGGGAACGGTGGCCAGGTAACTCCACAGTCTGCTGGCCCCTGCTGGGAGGAACCGGACAAACCCTGTCCAGCCCCTTCTCTGCAGATCTGTCTGGGAGGTGAAGAGAGATTAAACTGGGCACAGCTGTACTGTTTGAGTTATATATTTTTGGAGAAAAGAAGTCTGAGAAGACTTGGGAAAGTGAGACCCAGCCAAGAGAGCTAGGCCCTGCTAAGGGAGGAGCAGACTGTGTTTATGCCCAGTGGCGGCCTCAGAGCGGGCAGCACTGAGTGTCAGCAGTGACGTCACTGGTGCCCACCTACCATGCGGCCAGCACTGGGCAGCACTGAGTGTCAGCAGCTTGTTACTAATGCCCACCTACTATGTGGCCAGAAATTGCTGTAGGTGCCACAGCTTTCCAGAGAGAGGGGAGCTCAGCATGTCCTTGAGTGATGAGGCTGGTCTTTGAGGAAGAGACAGACACTGCACTGGTATTTGAAGCTCCAGAAGATTTAAGTAGCCACAGGGGCTTAAGGGGGACATTTCAGCCTGAGAGTCAGCAGAGAAGCCTCATGATGGGCAGGAGGAGCTGAGAGGGGGGCTAGGTGGACTCCCTAGAAATGCTCGGAGGCCTCCCACAGCGCGTGTTGGCGGCTGTGCAGTGAGTGAGTGAGTGAACACACTGTAAATGTAGCTTGAGAAATAACTCACACTCGCACGGCTCATGGCCTGCATCTGGGATGTGGTCAGTTTCTCCTGAGTCGCTCAGCGGAGAGCCTGTGTCGCCTGCTTCCCTGTGTTCCATGAGCACCAGGCTGCGACCCGCCGGCCTGGGCAGTCACCTCTGGTGTTTTACACTCACCACAGTGTCCTAGAAAGGCCCCTCCAAGCCTCAGCCTGCAGCTTGATACAGGAGTGAGCACCACCATCAGCCTATCTCAGAGACCTAGTGACGATGAACAGAGTCGACATTTAACTGAATAGTGCCCTGACTTAGTGATGTGAACAGGGTCAACATTTGACTGAATAGTGCCCTGACTTAGTGATGTGAACAGAGTTGACATTTAACTGAATAGTGCCCTGACTTAGTGATGAACAGAGTCAACATTTAACTGAATAGTGCCCTGACTTAGTGAT